AGGATATTGGTGATAGATCCAAGTCTCATCCATGGTTCTAAAACGACGCAAGAAATCGGTTTTATTCTGCCTAAAACGCTCCAAGTTATGCTGAGAAATTTGTTTTTGATACAGTTTTTGTTGAATTGTTAACCTGTGCGGCACTAACTTTTCCAAGTCCTTTTTCATATGTAAATCTTCATGTAAAATATAAAGTACTCGTTCGTTCTGCGATACCTATGGCATTAGCAATTTTACGCTTAGTCAAGCTTGAATCATCACTAACAATATTATGAACTTCCTCACTGATTTTTGGTGTGGTTGCTGTTTTTGGTCGTCCTTCCCGTGAATCGTCTTCAAGCCTAGTACGACCACGTTTAAATTCATTAGCCCACAATTCAACGGTGCGTTTTGAAGGTGAGGACACTTTATACACTTCAAACAATTGTTCATAGATTTCCTTTGTTTTTAAACCTTTCAATACAAAGAATCTAATCACTGCGCGATATTCAATTCTTTCCATAATAAAAAAAAATACTCTGACACGTCAACTTCAAATGGCATGTAAACAAAGAATTAATTGAGAGAATGACTTGTAACTTTGCATGTGTTTTCACGACAGATGCACCAACTTGACAAAAAAATTTAGAGCTAGTAGTGCTAATTCTTGGTGAGAGCAGAAACTTGACAACCAACCTATTTTTGCTGTAAGAAATGTTATATGTATTATAGCTTCCGCAGTGCAGCCGAAATTGACTGCGCGAATTGAATTGACGTAGTGAAATCCGTATATAATCAATTATCTATATATTCCTACGTTTTATTTTATAAAATAGATATACTTATAAGTAAAAATATTACATTATTTCTGCTTATTCCTTGTCCCTAGCACCACTCCAATTGCGAGATATACTTCTTTAATCATACTTTTCCTAGCCATAAATTATTAGTGACAAAAGCAAATGTATTCAATTAAGCGGAAAATGCATTAATGATAATCCGATCAGTTCATTCAAGAGCGATAAGTTTCATTCATATATTACGAGATGGAGAATATGTCCATAATCGAAACTTATAGGATCATGAAAATAATTTAAGTAATTAATTCTTAATTATTTATATCAGATATACTTTGAGTCATTTGCTTAAACGGTATCCAATAAATCTTAGATAATTAAAATCAATCTGCAAATCCGGGAACAAAATGTATCTATGATATGGAGATGGCTTTTGAGTTACCCTATATATATAAGTTAATTAAAGAAAAAATAAGCATTTATGTAATCTTTGACAACGGATTTTTATTATTGTACAACTATGCAATTAATAATGAAATGACAATACCTGTGTAAAGATTTTGTCCTATATGACGATTTACACATCAGATAAACGACCCTATTATGAAACAATGTATTCTCGATATAAAATTTATAATCATATTATTAAAGACAACCTGTCCGACGTACTCACATAGAATAAACCAATTTTTGTAATAACAGCTTGCATATCGATTTAATAGCGATATTCTAATCTTAGCTGTACAAAAAATTTATGTGCAATGTCAATTTAATAACCGTTGTTATCAGCTACGTGGTTTGTATGAGTTTTATGGCTTGTTGTTGTGTATACTTAATAAAGTGACTATTGAAATTATTAGGGATGAACATTGAAACTAAGTTAAACACAGATGAATTTAACAAAGTAATAAAGCCAACCTTAACGAAATGTCAGTCACCAAATGATAGATAAATTTTCTTGTTAAATTGTAAGCAATAATTTTTCATAATCATATAATCATAATGGCAGTATAAGTTTTGTATATCAAATTAGATATGTAAAAATTTGACAGCTGTCAAACAATATTGGAAGTTAACCGAACAAACTTATATGCATACGAGCATATGTATACAAATATAGATAAATTAGCTAGAAAAATGATCAGTAGAAGAATCAACCATTATGTTACGAATAATTCCATTATTAGATTTAAAGTATTCCGCTTAAATTACCAATCCCGGCACGAAATATGGGAATTCCATATTATGATTACGTCAAATAAACGTCATTTTCAATGGTAGTGGATACTTATGCACGTCCATTCATCAACAACCAAAATAATGTTGCCTAGAATTACTAATTACTGGTCGAATTCATGTTACTGACCTTTACTTAGAAAAGTAAATAAGTCATATAACAATTACAATTTAAGCAAGTGCTCACGTACATATCTAACATACTTCCCCCATTGCCCCGTATAGACAATGGCACACTATTGGCAAACAGCGATTACATTTTCACTGGCGCAATTAATCGGCGTTTGGTCATTCCAATAAACACTAATATGATAATTTTAGCACGTTCGGTCTCGTTTTCATTTAATAAATGGACGTCGCAGTACTCAATCACGTTTTAAAGGTTCACAGCGTATGCACGTATGGACGTATAATTTTTACAAGGGTGGTACAATAAAGCAAGGGTATTTAAAACCCAATTTTGAATTTAAAATACTTTAAGATAATATTCTCTCTCTCATTTATAATTAAATCTTTTTAAACATTAATGGAATATGCCACGATCTAGCACCACTTAGTAACCTAACTTTGTCTTTGGAAAGGTTGACATGTTTCTACATTTTTAGCTTACATCCGCTCGACAAAGTTTAAGATTGGCGCAGACCATTAGTTTATAACCAGTGCTCACCTTGTTCAGCTATTTCCTCCTTTCGAAATTTCACTCTTATGGTATGGGGTCGCACTGAGTAGATGGGTTATGGTCACGAAGGCCTTCGCATCTGTATGCTTGTGTACTGGATTAGGTGTGTCCCAAATAAGTTGGACTCTGTTACAAGCTGATATGCTATTGACTACTCTTGCTACGCACCCCCGAACCAATAATGACTAATTACTTATGTGTATATCTGAAATAAACCGAAATATTGTACCGACCAGGGTATTATCATGTGCTCAGTTGACCTGGGAGATTTAAAGGGAACTTATTCGCTAAATAGGGCTTCACTTGAAAAATGTATTGAAAAACGAAAGATGCCATGTTGATTTTTATGCTTTACTTATAGAGCAGAGTCGATAACTTTAAACGGAACTTTGGTTCAGTAACGTTCTTTATTTTTTTGCGTTTTCTGAAAAAAAAATTACCGTAGTAATATATATATATTTTTTAGCATTAAAAAGTAAATAAACAACGAAGAAAAAATCACACCGGCTATTTCAAAAAAGCAGATATTTTGTCGTGGATCTCCTTCACCGATATTAAATCAAAATAAGGTGAAAACATAAATATTTGAAATAAAAAGATACGGTGTGTTTGGGATATAAAAAGGTTAGCTCACCCCAAATTTAGTGTAAATTATTAGAGAATTTTTTTTTTGTAAAAGAAAAATAATATCATAAATATAATCACATAAATATGAAGTTATATGAAGAAAATGTTAGCACAAAAGTTGTAGATATTCGTATTAACTACAACATTACCATGTAACTGTTTTCCCTAGGACTTGTAGTCTTTCCGGGAATCGAGATAAACCGTTTTTTACCCTTAAAGTTTCAACCACTTCCCCTTTTTTTCACTTCCTGACCACATATTACCTGTATATTATTTTTTCTTTCAATTTTGTTATATTTTTTCTTACATGCATATCATCTTCTATTGAGTTGAATCTGTTCAATCCCGTCTTGTAATTACAAAACAATTGATTCAACCAATCTGTAGTACTACATACAAAGTACATATGTGAAGTATGTATCTTTATTAGGGCAATCAATAAATGCACTTTCATAAATACATCAGTGTATGAAAAATCCACACGCACTTTACTCGTATTAATTGATTCAATTGCGTGGAATTTCCGCACTTAGGCATGAAGCAGTAAAGGAAATTATTAAAAATAAACATACACATATACATATGTACATATGTACATTCCAGACGATCTGATGTGCATTCCTTAAATATTGTTTCAAATACCAACTAAACATTTTATATAAGTGAATATGAATGAAAGTGTTGACAAAAAAATTTAAAAATTTTTTGAATGTAGCTGTTGTAGTAGATTCTCAGAGAAACAATAATAAATTAAATAATATAATGAAAGTATTAACAATTAATTAATTAGCGAGTAGTAGTAGTAGAGAGTTTACAAGTAATGGAAAATATAATATATGTATGAACATGACTACATACAAGTATTATATATCCATGTTTGCCATGCATTAAATATGTACGAGTATGAACACAATTACATTCAATAGTAGTGATACCGAAATGTTGATAACTTTAACTATAATGAATGATATTTAAAACGAGAAAAAGCGTTAACTTCAGACCAAAGCTATACTATAATACTCATCATAAATCCATACAAGAACTAGATTTTGATCGGTCAGTTTGTATGGTTGCTACATATACCAGTCTACTATAGTGGTCAGATCTGAATAACATGTACAGTGAATGGCAGCAATGAATATCCTATAGTGGTCCGATAACAGAGATTACGACAAATGAGCAGCTTCTTGGGGAGAAAATTATATCTGTACATATATTTGTAAAAGTTCAGAGCGATTTCTCAAAAACTTAGGGGCTAGTTAGCATATATACAGACAGACGGACATGGCTACTATAAATCGATACATACATATGTATATACTTTAAAGGGTTTCCGACGTTGCCTACTTTCTGTTACATGCTACGTAGCGAACTTATACCCTGTTCAGAGTATAACGATTCCACTACAATGATTACAAGTATGCGATATAAGCGCATATACATGTATGAGATTATTTTAAATGCTTTCGACAGATTTCAGTTACTAATTTACTAGTTTTTTTGAGAGATCATTAGAAATCTTACGAGGAAATCGCGCACTTCTAGAGTTATCTAATGTATTGCCGATTAGCTAACTTTCAATCTCCAAAACAGCTAAGATATTATTCGATGAAATTTGCAATCTAATTTTCTTATATCTATTTTCAATTTGTTAAAAATTTTAAAATATTTATTTATTTCAGAAAATTTGTGTAATAGAGAACGCGCCAAAAATGAAGGGTTCTACTGGTATTCACAGTATACCACGATATACGAAATCATTAATTTTTGTGTTATCAATAACAGGTGAGTTAGGGAAATGTATATTTTATTGTATTTTATAATAACTAATTAATTCGGCGAATTTCCAGCAGCTTTACTCACACAAACAATCGCAGATGAACGATTCACGCGAAGCTCTAACCGAAGCGGGTTAACGGTATCCACACATGATCTCACAATTATAGTAAATAACATAAAAACATTTGATGTTTTACTCAGGTGAGTCGCAGGAGAATCAAGTATATGTAAGCCTTTACAGGGTGAGGCAATATTTGCAAAGTATTAATACTGAGAGCAAGCAATACAATCGCAACAAGCGAAATAAAATTAATCCGTTCCTACGCTAGTAGAAACTACGTCACCAACCACCATTTGATGATTATTTTGTTAATTATTAGATTTTACAATTCCTTCGCAATGAGATTGCTATAATTACATAGGGTACTTTTCTTATATTCTACAGTGAACCATTGGCACAAGACGTCTTTATCCAATTGGTAAAACAACATGAGACTTTAGTAGAATTGGACCCTAACTATTTCACAATCAGTGCGTCGAATCCACAAAATAGAACCGTTAGCGTGCGGGGTCTCCAACTTGGGCACCTAGATGTTACCGCCACGAGTGTACCGGACGAGTCATGGATGTACGTACTATGCGCTACATTATGAATGAACTAACTTTTTATTATTGTAAAATATTCATACAATTTTCTATACAGTGTTGACGATTTATTTATACGCATTACTGTTGCAAAGTCGGAGCCTATTATTTACACCTCAATTGTGTTCGGTTGGATTTATTTTCTGGCCTGGTCCATTTCGTTCTATCCGCAGATTTTCATTAATTTTAAGCGAAAATCTGTAGTTGGACTCAACTTTGACTTTCTCGCGCTCAACGTTGTTGGTTTTGCACTGTATAGTGTTTACAATTGTGGCCTTTATTGGGTATCCAGCATACAGGAGGAATATGCCAGTCGACATCCACGTGGTATAAATCCAGTTTTATTGAATGATGTAGTATTCGGTTTACATGCGGTGTTTGCGACAGTCATCGCAATTATTCAGTGTGTTTTATATGAGGTGAGGTTGGGTGAATCACAACGCAAACATATCTACTAATTATAAATAGAAAGGTAAACTTTAATTGGTACAGTAATTATAACCGAATAGTGTATATTAAGATTTCCACGATGTTTATGACCCAGAAAGTATATAGAGGGTCAAACTATATAGTAATCGCTATAGATGGGTTTTCCCTTGTCAAGATAGTCGATAAATATTACACTTGTCATATCCCAAAATACCGAGGCCATAACCTTTCCAGCACATTGTTGTGATTTCGAGACGAGGTTCTCCAGCTGCTGTCCACTCAAATGACGGTCATCGATTCCGGAGTGAAGTGATGGATCCAAGTTGAAAATTCCGGTTTGTTACGTTTAAACATGGCCAAACACTGCTCAGAATCATCAACATGTTGCTGTTTTTGGTCAACAATCAGCAAACGCGGCAACTGAGCTTTCTCAGCTATATCAAGCAACTTTACTTCCCGATCATTCAGAACCATTTTGTGGATATTTTTATGATTTCTGGTGTTATAGCCTCATTTGGACGCCCACTGTGTTTTGAATCGCTGGTGTCTCTACGACCACGTTTGAAGTCAGCAAACTAACGTTTTATTGTGGTTTCTGATGATGCGGAGTCCCCATAACAATTTTTAAGCCATTGTTTTGCTTTTACGAAATTTTTTCCCTCAAAAAGCAGTGTAAAATTAAAACACGAAATTAGTTATCACCCATTACTTTTAAAATAACAAAAGTAGCGTCACTCTTAGCACACTAACTCGCAAATGTATAGAATGTTATGAAATTTTAACAGCTGGCTTTTGAAGGTTAGTACTAAGTGGAAATGAGGGAATTTAATAAAACTAGTGCCATATGAGACCCGGGACTTTTCAGCCCATGTGTTATATTATAAGCAAAGCACCTGAGAAGAGTACAACCGAAGTTAACATTTTTTCTTATTTTATTTTATTATTATGTGTTATTATTACAGCGCGCCGATCAAAGAATCTCCAGAATCGCTTCATGTATATTAGGCGCAATCGCTATAATTGTTTTGGTTACATTAATTCTAGCCGTTACTGGTGTTGTGTATTGGCTGGATTTTCTATACTACTGCAGTTACATTAAACTGGCGATGATCATCAAATACGTGCCTCAGGTTAGTTAAAAAAAAAAAAATATTGGCTTAAAGGCAGCTCAAAAAAAAAAACGCTGTGTAAAAGATAAACTATCAAATTTTATTAATACTTGTTTCTCTTGAATGTCTGTAGGCGCTGATGAACTATCGCCGCAAAAGCACTACTGGCTGGAGTATTGGTAATATCCTATTGGATCTCACTGGTGGTTTGCTCAGCATGTTGCAGATGATCTTGAACGCATACAATTATAGTAATTTGTTTTGGTTTTCATTCATTTAAAAAATAATTTATATTTTATTTGCATATTTGTAGATGATTGGGTGTCAATTTTTGGTTCTGTGACGAAATTTGGCATGGGTCTATTCACTGTGCTCTTCGATATATTGTTTATTCTACAACACTATGTATTTTACAGGTTTGTTCGAAAAGCTCTAAAGTATATTTATCTTAGTGTTGGCCACAATTTATCCATACATTAAAAATCACACAAATACATGTACAGGGTTTTCCAATAAGAGTGATATGATTAAAAAAAAACCCCACTACTTGTTAAGGAAATTCAACAGTTTTTTATTTAATGTGAAGTAAAATCGATACAATTGAGTTCTGTATATAACATCATTCAAATGGCCTCCAAGACTTTTTTTGCAGGAACGAATTCGATGAACCCAATTGTCGAGTACTTTTTCCACTAAATCAAGTCGTTCAATATTGACTTCAAAAGCTTGAAGAGTCTAGTTTATAGCTAAATACTAATGACTTTAAATAAGCTCACAAGAAGTAGTCTAATGGTGTTAAACCACAACTTCTTGGAAGTCGTTCAATGTCACAATTTCTTAAAACTATCGAATCTCCAAACTTTCCTCGCAATAATTCGGTTGTTGCACGTGCATTGCGGCCCATAGTCGAGTCTTCTTAGAACCAGATGTTGTCGAGATCAACTTCTTCCAATTTCGGCCTTAAAAAGTTTGTTATCATCGACCGCTCTCCATTAACAGGACGCCAGCTTCATTTCAAAAAAAAAAAAAAAGGGTGAAACGACACTTAGAAATCATATCATCCCTATTGGAAAACCCGATATAATATTTTGTGATATAGACAAACAGATAAATCACAGTTTGGTCAAGGCAAAAGCTCAATAATTCCAAATTGCATCACCAACTGAACACACAGCTTCATCAATGACATCCACGCATACACCCATTGAAGCACCTGCATACGTACACAATTATAAATGTACATATATGTATATGTATGCACATAACCACATAACTGTCATATTCATAAAAATGCACTTGCTCTGCTAGTCGATATTCTATATAAATGCATAATTTTTTTTCTAGGCACTCCCAACAGCTTTCCATCTCTACGATTACTAACGCCACAGAAGTGGTTACTGACAAAGCTGACGAGCAACCGCGCTATTAGTTTTACTTATTTATGTTTTATTATTATTTTTTAGGTTTTGTGTTTAATATTTATTTTGTTAATGCTTGTTAAACACTCATGTGTATATGTGTATACTCACACACTTTTCTTGTACTTAAGATGTAAGTATGTAATATAATTTAAATTATTACGAATAAAAGTATACAATTGAGTACTTTTAAGGACACCCCAAAATTGTAAACACACTTTTATTTCAAATGATTGGAAACTAATTTATTACTTTGCAAGAAAATTTTGAGAGATAACTCATTAGAAATTCGAATGTAAATCTATAATGGAATTTTTATTTTCGGAATTGCCTAAGTACAAATAAGCGAAGAGCGGAACAACAAACTAAAATATTCGAACTCCATATTTGAAACACCCGTTTTAGTAAAATGCGAAATTCTTTGTTTAAAACATATTAAAAAGCGGCCGATTTTATTCAATATTTGTAAGAAACTACGAACTTAAATCAACAATAACAACAGATTTACACAAGCTTTCATTTCAAAGATAATTTAACTAATAACTAAATCACAGTCTTGTTCTAATTACTTAATCAAATAAATCAAAATTGAATTGTATTGAAACTGGAGTTTAGTCCACTTCTTCGACTGTTGGTCCACCGTAATTACCACCGCCAAAACCACCAGATTGTTGACCGCAATTACCAGGTTGCGAACAGCACCTCTCTTGCTGGTGCATTTTCTGGACAATATTTTGTTGGCTCCTCACTTATACTCAAACTCCTCCTTTTCGGCAGTGGTTGCCATCAAGCCATTTAATTGTCTCGTTACATTTCTCCAGTACTCGATCTTTATCTGATTGACTTAATTTACTTCCTTCGTCAGCACTTTCCACCAAACACATAACTTTCAAGTTGATTACGAGCAGCTATGCGTTGACGGTGTTTTCATCTTCTTCGGCATATTTCTCACTTCATTTACCATACGATCGATGTCTGCTTGAAAGCCTCCCTTATCGTTCTTTATAGTAATATTCTTAGCATTTCCGTGCTCATCTCCTTTGCAGTCACATTCAAAATTCCATTAGCATCCAAATCAATTTACATCTACTTTGGACTCCTCGAGAGCTGGTGGAATTCCAGTTAATGAATTCCCAACAAGTTGTTTCTTTGGTCATGCACGTTCCTCAAACACCTGAATGGTGACAGCTGGTTGTTTGTCTGCATATGTCGTAAGGTTTAGACTGTTTGCATGGAATACGACTGTTCCGCTCAATCATTTGGTCATCACTCCACCAGCGGTCTCATTCCAAGTGATAATGGTGCCACGTCACAAGAGGACATCTTGATGCACTGCTCTTATCACCACTCAGAATGGCTGCTTGAATAGCTGCATATGCTACCGCCTCGTCTGGATTGATAGAAAGATTTAAACTCTCCACCGAAGAATGTTTGCAAGCTTTGCACTTTAGGAATACGAGTTGAACCACCAACAAGGACAATATCGTGGATTTGGCTTTTGTCCATTTTGGCATCGTTCAAAGCCTTTTCTACTGGATCTGTGTACTGCGGAACAAATCACCACATTTCCTCAAACCGTGCTCGCTTATTTTGTGTAGAAATCTACTCCTTCGTATAGAGCATCAATCTCGATAGAGGCTTCTGTGCTGGACGACAGTGTACGTTTCGCACGTTCAGCCGCGGTCCTTAATCGTCGCAAGGCTCGAGGATTCGATCGCAAATCCATATTTTCTTTTAAACTCTTCTGCAAATGGCTTACCAATCGATTGTCGAAGTCTTCTCCACCTAAGTGAGTATCGCCAGCCGTCGCACGCACTTCAAATAGCGATCCTTCGTCAATAGTTAAAATGGAAACATCGAAAGTACCACCCCTCAAATATGAGCACGTGCGTTCGCCTTTAAGGTTTTTATCCAGACCATAAGCTAACGCCGCTGCTTGGTTCATTAATAATTCGGAGAACATTCAACCCTGCAATGGCACCAGCATCCTGGTGGCTTGACGCTGCGAGTCGTTGAAGTAAGCCGGCACTGTGATAACGGCATCTCTTACAGATGTACCCAAATACGCCTCAGCAGTTTCTTTCATTTTGTTAGCACCATCGAACTTATTTCTTGAGCAAACTTTTCTGTTTCTCCTTTGAATTCAACACTTAACTTAGGCTTTCCACGATCGTTAACCACAAAAAGGCCAATGCTTTATGTCCTCCTATTTTAGTATCATCAAACTTTCGTCCAATTAATCGCTTGGCATCAAACATTGTGTTCTTTGGGTTCGGCAACGTTTCTTCGCAGCGTCACCAATAAGTCGCTCCGAGTCTGTGAACGCCACATAGCTGGGTGTTGCCGATTACCTTGATCGTTCGCTATGATTTCCACTTTTCCGTGTTGGAATACTCCTACACACGAGTATGTTGTTCCCAAATCTATTCCAATTGCAACCATTTTATGGCTTTGTACTTTTTAATAAATTATTTTCAATTAAGAATTACTTTCAATATTCACTAATATTCTGAAATTGTTTCTTATTCTTGGTAAAAAGTTGTTCTTAATCTCTTTGTTTTGCTAAATAACTTTAGCTAACTTTGTTATGTTTATTCTTTTGATTTTCAATTCAAACTATGCGGAGGAGAAATTTTCGGCCGCTATTTATATGAAATTGGTCGGAAGAGATGAACAGATTTCTTGACCTTTCTCGAAATGACTACGTGCTATCCGCTGTAAAAAGGCAGACAGCTGACTTGTGTGCAGTAATTGGGGAGAGAAATAAGAAACTGTCCTCAGAAGGCGAAACCAGAGATTTAGAAGGTCCATTTACGTTCTCTGAAGAGAGAATTGTCGTAAATATATCTCTTGAGTAATCTCGAATGTCTAAGGCGTTCGCTATTCGTAATTAGAAAAACAACAAAGAGACGTAAAATATGTTGCCGTAGGAATCTAGAAAACACTAGTTCTTAAGGTTTTATTGACACTGTCTATAACTGCAAAGTAATTATGCCGTATACAAATAGTTCAAAAATTAAAATCACTTACATGTTTGTTTACAATCTATCTGAGAGTTCGAGAGACTACCATTGGTTGCAATCTCAAAAGTTTATATATAATAGTCCCATTTTTAATTTAAATTTGTATCTGACAGTTGATAAGGAGAGTATGAGTAATACTCTCATAAAGTTGTTAGGAATTAAATTTATCAATTAAATATTTCTCTTGGAATGAAATTTCTTCTAGTAATTGTCGAATTGTTATGTCTTGAAATATTAAAAATGAAATATTAACAAATTATGATTCTAATTGAAAATATGTACATAATGTCTTCAATTTACTAATATTACATTTACTACTTAAACGAATGCTATGTGAAAGTTCAATCTATAAAATTTCTTAACGTAACAATTGACTTTGCTAAGTTTTTAGATTAAGTTTTGGAAAGATTGGTCCTTTAATATAAAAGTATTCTCTAATTTAGATCTAGCTTTTCTTGAAAACTATTTTAGTTTTTATCAAATTTCAAAGTTAGAATTCCACAAAAACCTATTCTTTCTAAGAAGTGTTGAAACAAATTGAAACAATGTGTTGTGGTAATCCCATAATATAATGAGTGGGTATATCAAATAGAATGTGGATTTCTGCATCAAAAAAATGATCCAGAACATGCAAAGCCAGGAAAGCATTGCTATCTAGACTCAATCCTGACAGATTTGTAGTTACAGCTCAAATTTTCCGAACATTTATAGACCTATTCCACTATATATATTAAAATTTGAAACCCAAACCAGTGTTCTTACTCATTAAGAATCAACTATTTGTCTGTATTTAACTACTGTCTTATTGTATGAAAAGTATACATACTGCTTATTGTGTTCCCGCTACCTAGTTCAAATGCTACTAGTTGAAAGTTGCATATAAATACATTTGTAGTAGAGTTAAATTTCTAGTTTCCTCAATATGTGTGATTTATGGGGTTTGTATAAATACAGTAAGTCCGCAGTTTTGATTCACTGTTTTTGTAGTGAAAACTTATTAAAATATGATAAATACTTATGTACATCAATATGGAGTTCATTTACATTCTCTGGTATGTACACGTGGAGGAATAGTATTTTTAATATTATCACTTATCAATAAATATATATGCGCGCACTGCTCTATATGTAAGTATGTATGTAAAAATATTCGTATGATCTTGCAAAATAAGTTATGCATACAAATATATTAGCGAATGTAAGTATGTCACAATTGACAAATCCGAAATTTGTAGTAAATCACACAACATTTTCATTCATGAACGCTGGCGCACATGCAATAAGCTAAGTCGTTTCATTCATAAAAGTAGACACCATCTCCCTCTACGAACATGCGTTTACATCAAGCGCCTTTTCGCGACGATTCTTCTAAGTTCTCAGATTTAACAGTATGGGATTGAACTTTTGTTTGTTTATATATTTGTTTAGAAGAAGATAAATATAATCTTGTTTAATTTAAAAACAACATTATTTCTCTTTTAATATATTGGTACTCTCCGCTCCCATTTCTCAAAATATACATTTGTACATATATAGCATAAAGTTCTCAATTGCAGTTAGAGGAGATCTCTTCTACTTTGTTGAGAACAGTTTCTTATTTCTCTTCCCAATTACTGCACCCAGTAGATTATATTGTTCTCTGATAGCACGTAGTCATTTCGAGAAATGTCAAGAAATCTGTTCTCGAAAATTCTCTTTCCAGACTTTCATATAAATAGCGGAAATTTCTCCTCCCATAGTTTGAATTGAAACGTCAAACGAGTAAACATAACAAACTTAGCTAAAGTTATTTAACAAAACAAAAGAGATTAAGAACAACTTTTACCAAGTGCATAGGAAACAATTTCAGAATATTATTGAATATTGAAAGTTAAATTCAGTTTAATTGAAATAATTTATTAAAAAGTACAAAGCCATAAAAATGGTTCCAATTGGAATAGATTTGGAAAACATACTCGTGTATGGAAAATTGGAAATCGAAACGATCAAGGAAATCTCACATCACTCAGCTATGTGCGTTCGACAGCTCGACGACTTATTGGGACGCTGCGAAGAATCAAGTTGCCATGAACCCAAAGACACAGTGTTTGATGCCAAGCGATTAATTGGACGAAAGTATGATGATATTAAAATCAGGAGACATAAAGCATTGATTTTACAGTGGTTAACGATTGTGGTAAGCC